GCACGGATTTTGCTCCAGGTCAGTCACGTTGTACCGCGTAGGGTCTCTGGAAAAGAAAACAAAGGTTCTCTCACATGAAGAAGAGACACAACGTTTTGATGATATATCGTTCTGCCCTCCCCCCGTCAAAAAGGGAGAATGGGGAAAATCTATACTTGTGGAGTTTTACCTGCGGCCAGTTTTGGATCGGCGGTGGCGGGGGTGAGTGAAGGCGAGCTCCAAATGGCTCAGCGGGTGCTCTTATCCTCGCACCCCTAGGCGCCGCGGTTACTCTCTCCAGGCGCGTTTGGTTATCCTTGGGGGCCCCACGTGGAGACCTTCTGTCGCGCCAGCCATAACAGTGGGCTTCGATGGTTTGGCTTGCCTTCACTTCCCCGTCGATTTCTCTGTATAGTGTCAAGGAAATTGCCCAGCTTTGGCGTGCCGTTCCCTTTGATGACAAGGTCACGTGGCGATCATCACGAGGGCCGCTTCAGCGCGTGCACCTGGCTAGGATTGGGTGGCAGTCGGTGACCCCCCTCACGTTTGAAGACGTCTACGGTCGTGAGGTGCATCTGGGCTACACCTCGCCAGCGACGCTGGCTCATATGTTGCAATTGGCGGTCCAGCGCAAGCGCGAGCGAGTTCTATGTCAAGACGCCCCTGGGGCCGGCGGTGTTCGTTTTTGCGTCGATCCCCTCGAGACCTTGTTGGGCCCCAAGGGAAGGAAACTCAACCCTCAGCAAAAGTACCTGGCCTTGAGCGTGTTCTGCAAAGCGGCATGGGCCCGCGCGAGGGCGCAGGCTGCGGGGCATGCGTGCGACGGGCGATGCCCGAAGTGCGGGATGCCCGATAGTGTTCGGCAAAGTGTCACGGACGAGGCCCCCGTCGAATGGCTGGGCGCGGCTCTTGAAAGTCAGGGCCGTTTGTTTTTTGACGAGTTGAAATGGGGGTACCCTGAGGCCTCCTATCCCCCTCTGTCTTCGGCCGCCCAACCCATCCTGTGCTCGCCCGAAGGGGGCGTCATCGATTGGGGGTCTGTGGATCTTTCTGGTTGCGATGTCGTCATGGACGGCTCGGCCTTTCGCCGCGCCGTCAGGGGGCTATCCAGGGCGGCGTTATCTTGTGTCTTCCTGGGCGAAGGGAGCGCTATTATTGCGTATGCCAAAGGCACGGTGCTTTCAGTTCTCCCGCAGACATCCCAAGCTGCGGAGCACCTGTGCATGGCCTTGCTCCCGATGTTTCAGAGCGGCGGCCGCGAGCGCCACGCCGATTGCATGAATATGGTGCGCATGTGTGTGGCTACGCGGGAATGCCAGGTATTTCATAACATCGTTATGCTGGCCTTCGGAGAGGTGCCCTTCTACATGAAGAGTCCCCTACCCCGTCGGTGTACCGCGCTCCTGCGCACCGCTCTCGAGCTGTTTTGGACGCCCTGCCCGCGCGCGAGAGACGGATCGGCATCGGCAACTTGAAAGCCGACGCCTTGGCCAAGCAAGCTCTCCTTCTCCATCCTCAACCCAGTGTGCATGAAATAGCGGATGCGGACAGGAAGTGTGATTTGCTCGCCTTTGCGGCGAGAGTGGCTGGCACCGCGCTGGCAACTTTTCCTTCCGAGAGGTTTGATCGCCCGCCCACGGGGCCGAGGGCTAAGTTTTTTAACAATCGGGAGGTTGGCATTCCTGGCAAGAAATCGGTCAGGGTTGAGCTAGATGTTTGCATTGCCATTGTCTTTCCACGGACCTGGAGGCGCGAACCATGTTGGGATGTAGAGGACCCAGCAGGCTGTGGCGCGGTGTCCTGGATCGGTCCCTGAGGCGCTCCCTGGCGCATTGCATTGTAAGTACAGGTGAGCAGCGGCTCGCTCTCTTTTTCTGCACCACGTGCGGAGCGTACTCCTCCGCACGTTGCCACATGCTCGGCAAGGAGTGTATCCAGCGCGGCCTGGCTGGAGGTTCCACCACGCTGCGGCGAATTTTTCCGGAGTTTATCCGCACTGCCGTGAAAGCAGCACGGTAAGGGAGTCTTCGAGGCGTGGGGTGGCGTTCTTCTGCTACGCGTCGCAGCGGCCTCCGCTGCACGACGTCAGCCTGCCGCTCTCGCCGTCAGGGCTGATAGAGACGGCAGGGATGGCGGCGCTTTTGGCGCGCATTCAGGCCCGCGGGGCGTCGGCGGTGGCAAGGCCTGCTGCCGCGTCCGCGCGCGACGCAACGTGGCCAGGTTTTGTGGGATGGCGTGTTGGGCTAGATCTGGGGTTCTACGGGACCGTCCTTTTCTTCCCGATCGCTGTCCCTCGACCGCCGAGCTGTATGTCTACGGCGCTCAGCGGCTGAGGACTAGTCGTCATCGGCCATCCGTGCCGATGTGTTGTTTAAAGCGTTCAGGCCCCCAGGGGATCGCTGACAAAAAATCCCTCTCCTCCTCCTTCTCCTCCTCCTCCTCTTCCTCCTATTCCTCCTCCTCCGATGGCGGGCCGTCGGCTCCAAAGCTCGATCCTCCAGAGCTGGCGGGCACGGGTTCTGATCTTTCGGGTTCGGTCTGTGGCCCGTCGAAGGTACAAGGGATTTGGGCACGGAACGGGCCTCTGCGCCGTCAGTCATGCACATCGATCTGATCTCGATGGTGGGATCAGCTGGAGAGCTCCGAGTCACACCACTCCCGACCCCTGATAGCACCGAGGGCGCCGGTATTGGTACACCTGTCGTTCGAATCAGATCGAACATGGCGGGCGTGGCAGGTGGCGGGTCGGGGGCGCCCGAGGAAGCAGGCCTGGATCACGTCACGCCAGGTGGCGGCTGGCTGAGGTGGGGCACTTGCAGGCAGAAGGTCGGCACTCCAGGTTGCGCGATACGCCGGGGGAGGAGGGGAGGGAGGGGGAGGGGGAGGAAACGAGGGAGAAGGGTCAGGAGGAGGAGGAGGAGAATGATGGCGATGATGGTGACAGTGATGGTGATGATGATGATGATGATGATGATGATGATGATGATGATGATGATGATGATGATGATGATGATGATGATGAGGATGACGATGATGATGATGCTGCTGATGATGAGGATGATGACGATGATGATGGTGAGGATGATGATGCTGATGATGAGGGTGAGGATGATGCTGATGATGAGGAAGCTGATGATGATGCTGATGAGTATGATGATGATGGTGACGATGATTTTGCGGATGACGAAGATGGTGATGATGATGATGACGAGGATGATGATGCTGCTGATGCTGATGATGCCGATGATGCTGACGATGATGATATGACGATGCTGCTGATGATGATGCTGCTGATGATGATGATGAGAGTAGCGACGATGCTTCTGCTGATTATGGTGTTGATTGCGGGTGATGGGGGTGATGATGATGAGGGCGACGATGATGACAATCTTGATTAGGAAGACGCCGGCGATGACGATGCTGATGATGATGCTGATGTTGATGTTGATGTTGATGTTGATGGTGATGTGGTGACGATAATGACGATGCTAAGGATGCGGTTGTTGATGATGATGGTGATTATGATGATGATCAGCACGATGATGACGATGATGCTGCTGCTGATGATTATGATGCTGCTGTTGATGGTTCCGAGGGTGATGATGATGCTGATGATGCTGCGGATGATGCTGCTGCTGATGGCGATGATGTTGTTGATGATGATGACCATGATGATCATGCTGATGATGGTGATGATGCTGATGATAAGAAGGAGGAGGATGAGGATAGGATGGGGATGATGCTCATGCTGCTGCTTCTGATGATGCTGATGATGATTGACATGCTGATTCTGGTGATGATGATCATGATGATGATTCTGATGTTGATGCTGATACTGGTGACCATGATGATGCTGATGATGAGGATGATGGTGATCATGCTCATGGTGATGATGAGATGATGATGCTGCCGATAACGATTATGATGATGCTGATGCTGCTGCTGATGTTGATTCTGATGATAAGGATGATGATGGTGATGATGGTGCTGCTGATGATGATGATTTTGATGCTGATGCTGATGCTGCTGATTTGAGATGGTGATTCAGATTCTGATTCTGATGATGATGCTGATGCTGATGCTGATGCTGATGATGATTATATTGATGAGGATGATGGTGGTGATGATGATGGTGATGAGGATGACGATGATGGTGATGATGATGATGATGATGATGATGATGATGATGGTGGTAGTGATTACGATGATGATGCTGATGATGATGACGATGATGCTGATAATGGTGATGAATATGCTGCTGATGATGATACTGATTATGGTGATGATGATGATGATGATGATGATTATGATGATGATGCTGAGGCTGAGGATGAGGATGAGGATGAGGATGAGGATGAGGATGAGGATGAGGATGAGGATGAGGATGATGATGATGATGCTGATGGTGATGATAATGATGATGATGATGATGATGATGATGATGAAGATGAAGATGAAGATGAAGATGATGATGATGATGATGATGATGATGATGATGATGATGATGATGATGAATGATGACGATGATGATGATGTTGATGATGATGACGATGATGATGATGATGATGATGATGATGATGATGATGATGATGATGATGATGATGATGATGATGGATGATGATGATGATGATGATGGTGGTGGTGTGATGATGATGATGATGATGGATGATGATGGATGATGATGATGATGAATGATGATGAATGATGATGATGATGATGATGATGTGATGATGATGATGATGATGATGATGTGATGATGATGATGATGAGGAGGAGGAGGAGGAGGAGGGAGGAGGAGGAGGAGGAGGAGGAGGAGGAGGACGGAGGAGGAGGAGGAGGAGGAGGAGGAGGAGGAGGAGGAGGAGGAGGAGGTAGGAGGAGGAGGAGGAGGAGGAGAGGAGGAGGAGGAGGAGGAGGAGGAGGAGGAGGAGGGAGGAGGAGAGGAGGAGGAGGAGGAGGAGGAGGAGGAGGAGGTCAAGGAGGAGGATGATGAAATCAAAGAGGAGGTCAAGGAGGAGCAGGCTGGTGCCGGCACGCTGGCTGCGCGGCCTCCCTCGCGAACTTGGGGGCCGCCGGCGCCGCGCCGCTGTGCCTCTCCCTGCTTGCCTCCTCCGGGCTGGACGAGATGGTCGCGGCAGCGGCCGCGGCGCGGGTCGCCTCCACGTGGGAGCTGCGCCCCGGCGCGCTCGAGGCCTCAGGGGCCTCTGGCGCTTTCCTGCTGGGGTCCCTTGCCGCCCTGGCGGCTTCGAAGAGCCGCCGCGCGCTGCTCTACCGGCCCCTCACGGAGGCGGGCTGCGCCGCGCGGGACGACGAGGCTGGCTTCCCCGGGCCCCCTCGCGTCGTGGGGGAAGGAGGAGGAGGAGGAGGAGGAGGAGGAGGAGGAGGAGAAGGAGGAGGAGGAGGAGGAGGGGGAGGAGGAGGAGGAGGAGGAGGAGGAGGAGGCGGAGGAGGAGGAGGAGGAGGAGGAGGAGGAGGAGGAGGAGGAGGAGGAGCAGGAGGAGGAGGAGCAGGAGGAGCAGATGGAGGCGTTGTGACCCAATCGTGGCGTCGGAGGCCTGGGCAGGGGAGGGCCAAGGTGGGCTGCCCGCCGGGGTGGGGCTGCCCTCCGAGCGCCAGTGCCATGCTGGTGGCGGTGCCATGGCGAGCGTCCTCGGCTCGCTCGCCATGGAGAAACAGCTCCCCTCCGGAGCCAGGGCGCTCCCCGACGGCCCCTGGGCCGTCCGAGCACGGCTCGCATGGGGAGAGCTGGTTCCGGGGAGAGCCCTGGGGCCCAGGACCCGTCCCTTCCCCTCAAGACCCTGCTTCTCTCCGCTCCTCTCGCGCCGCGGTGGTGGCGGGAGCTGAGAGCCACTTCCCCCCTCCGGTGGGGTAGGCACTTCTGGCAAGCAGCCGACCGCCGCCATCCATGGCCCGACAAGTGCAGGCCTGACCCCGGCAGGAGGGGCAACGCGTGCTCGGGGCCATGGCCAGGGGTGGAGGGGCAAGGGGCTGGAGGGGCTCTCTCCCGGGATGCCCCCCCCTGGCACCGGCCTCGCCCCTCCCTCGGGGATCGGTTACCACGCCGAGTGGTGAGTCGGTGGGGATTCGGGCCGACCGCACGGTTTTGAGGTCTGTGTTGCTCTCCCAGGATGTCTCGGGCGACTAGGGCGCCTCCAGGGCCCCCAAGCCGTGCGGTGGCGCACCCTGCGGTGAGGTCTTCGGGGATTTCCATGTCACCCCACGGTCTGTCGCTGCACGGCTTTGGGGCCTCCAACTCAGACATGCGGCTACTTTTTTTTTGGTTATATAGATACATATATATATATAAACATATGGAACAACACTTCTTCAGATACAAAAACAAGCTCATAGTATTTTTAGGGCTGTAGGGCTATGGGGCTCTTGGGATACATGACCATAGGCTATGGACCATCGGACTATATTGCTATAGGGCTATATGGCTATAGGGCTATAGGGCTATAGGGCTATAGGGCTATAGGGCTACCGGGCACCCGGGCACCCGGGCGTGCCGCCGAAATCGGCGCCATACCTCACCTAACCACATGAATCCGCTAGGACCCCTACAGAGGCCAGCTCTGATTGGGAAAAAGGAATACTAAAACAAACGGGGCTCCTGGAGGCCGACGTCGGCCAAAAGCCTCCCGCCATGCTTTGCCTTTCTGCTACGACGCGAACGTGTTTGGGAACTCTTCCCCCCCCCCAGCCCGCCTGCAGGGTTCCCCAGGCCTTCCAGATTTTGTCGGAGTGGATGGGGCCGGACCGTGTCGCATCGCCCATGCATCGGCGATTCGGCTCGATATTTGGAGCCCGGTGTTCTCCACGCCGACGGTGCCGATGCATCGCAGGCTTCGCCGGTGCATCGCCGATGCATCGGCGATGCATTGCTGGCGCCGACGATAGAGGCGAATAGCCCCGGGGCGGGCATTACACGTGTCCCTCCGGGAGCCTCGCCGAATACATGCAGCATCGGCGCCCCTGGATACGTGTATTGCTATCCCCTGGGCTCGTCGCCCCTGCAGTCAACCCGCATAGTAAGGATGGACAACTTTCCCAAGGGTAACCTTTGCATCCGTGCCCCTTCGGCCCATCATCAGCGAGTTTCGCTGGCCAACCTCGATCGACAAACGTTCACGTGGGCCTCCAAGGCCCTTGCATCCTTACCGCGCATCCTTAGATACGGGTTGACTGCATCGTCGCCCCCGACCTCGGGGATGCGGTGCAATCCTCCGATCCCACCCACTGGGACACCACCCGGGAGGCCTCCTCCCCAGACCCCCAACGTTTGATTTTTTCATGACGTCGACCCTCAGGGGTCTGGACCCCTTTCCCGGGACCGGTTTCTCGTCCTGAGTCGTTTTTCGACGGCCCCGAGGCCCGCTGAGGGCTCTAGAGGCCGAAGATAGCGAAAAACCTCCCGTCGTGTTTTTTTCGCAGCGCGTGGGGGTCTGGGCGCTAGGACACCACCCAGGAGGCCTCGGCTGCTCCTCCTCCTCCTCCTCCTCCTCCTTCTCCTCCTCCTCCTCCTCCTCCTCCTCTCCTCCTCCTCCTCCTCCTCCTCCTCCTCCTCCTCACCCTCCGCCTCCTCCTCCTTATCCTCTTCCTCCTCTTCCTCCCCCCCTCCCTCCTCCTCCTCTCCTCCTCCTCCTCCTCCTCCTCCTCCTCCTCCTCCTCCCTCCTCCTCCTCTCCCTCCTCCTCCTCCTCCTCCTCCTCCTCCTCCTCCTCCTCCTCCTCCCCCTCCTCCGCTGCTGGCCAACGCGAGGCCCCGGCGCCCTGGGACGGCGAGCGCGGCCGGGCCCTGGGGCGCCGCAGGCTGCCGGCCGAGCCCGCGCTGCAGGCGGCTGGCCCGCGGGCGGGCGGCGAGCGGCCGCGGCTCGTCGGGGCGCCCGCTCGGGGCCCGCGCGCGCGGGCGGGGCGCGAGGCGGCTGCCGCAGGCCCTGCCTCGATGAGGCTCAGCCAGAGGGTTCCAGTGGAGGTTTTTTGGGAGGGGGTTTTCCAGGAGTGGTCCCCCAGGGGCTTCGCACCTCCTGTTTTGACAAGGTTCCGAGGCCTCTGCGGGGCTCTCTGGAAAACCCCCTTCCCCAAAACCCTCTTTGGAACCCTTCGGCTCAGAGGAGGAAAAGGGACCCGTCCCAGACCTCGGGCGTCTCGAGCATAATCGAGGCGGAGTATTTTTTCGCAGTTTGCGGGCTCTGGGGATCCTTACACTCGGCCTCTCTGTGCCGTCCTAAAACGACTCGGGATGAAGAGCCAGTCCTGGAGAAGCGGTCGAGAGGTCGGGGTCCCGTGTTTCGAAAAAATCGAGTCGCCGGATGTCTGGGTACTGCTACCCTTCGCCCCGTTTTCCCCTATGTCGCTCTCCTGGGAGATTCTCGCCGTCACCGTCGGATTCGCCTCGAAATGCTGGTCAGAATGGGCCCCGGGAGAGGTCCGGGGAGTAGCGGTATCGGTACCTTTTGATTCCTCCAGAGACGTAACAGTGGCCCTTCGCAGTAGTGACTTTTGTTGTGCGGGCCTGGTGGGGTTCCCCCGATCGCCGAGTGCGGTGCGATAGCTGCGTTGTGCGCGGTTGGGTTTGTCCCCCTTCGCGGCTCCCGGAAAGCTGAGCACCAAAGGTTACTCTTACCCAGGGTCACTCTTGCGTGTAGTCGGTTGCAGATTTCCGACGAGCTGATTTTTTTCAATGTTTTTTCCCACCATCTTCGGAGAAGAAAACCACGGCATAACCATAAGCTGCGGCGCTCCGCGCAGACTTCTGGGATCGGTGCCGGAGCCCCCTGGCGGCGCCTCCGGCGCCGCCTCTGGCGTGCTCCGCGCGCCAGGCAGGTGAGCCCAGCGCCGATTCAAGAAATCAGCGCGGACCTTCGAAAGCTCATGTTTATGCTATGATTTGTTCCTTTCTTCCTCGATCCAATCATGTGGTGTTTGTGTCCCTCTTGGAATCAGCAGCGTCCCGCGTCTCCTTCCTTCCTCCCTTCCTCGTCCTCCCTCCTCCCTCCTCCCCATCCCTGCCTCTGCCCTCCGCATGCACATGTCAGCATACCCCTCATACTTTTTTGTCGTCCGTTCACGTTTTTCTCGATGTCTGCCCTTACGGGCCATTTTCGGGCCCTGGGACAATCGATGAGAATGGATCCAGGGTGAAAAGCTCTCCCTGGGGAATGAGTCTAGACCTCGGGGGTTTTGCATTGAAATAATCATATCGGCGGCCGTCAGGTTTCGCGGGCGTTCCCGCGACCGGAGCTGTCCCGGGCAGGGCGGTGGATGGCGCTGCTGCCTTGGAGCTCCGAGAGCTGCTCGACGCGATCGGCGCCGACGGCGCCGTCGCCGGCGTCGTCGATGCCGACTGACTGCCGCAGCTGAGCCCCTGCAGCCCGCACGTCGCCTCTCATCTTGTTCTCCCTCCTACCACTTCCTCTGAATGCGTGCACGTGGATATGTACGCCATGCTTTGCCGTGCAATGCCATGCAGCGTGATGCATGGTAGTTCATTGGGCGAGGATTGATTGTAAAGTAACGTAGCGCAGCATGTGTGATGCGATGCGATGTGGTGTGGCGCGATGCGATGAAATTCGATGCAATTCGGCGCGAAGTATCAGTTGTCAAGGTGTTTCAATGTAATGCCGTGGTGTGTCAAGTATCTAGTGGCCTTCGGCTTATCCCGCCATCCCGGGTTGTAAGTCAGAGGCCTCTTGGATGCTTGTTGGGATCTCTTGGGAGGCCTCTCGGAAGCCTCTTAGGGGCCTCTTTTGGGGCCTTTTGGGGGCCTGTTGGAGCTTCCAGGGGGCCTCCCTGGGGCTTCTCCAGGGCCTACTGGCAGTCTCGGTGGTCATCGTGGGGCGGAGGGCTCGAAATGTCAGTTCGTGTTCCCCCTCTTGAGCACCTCGTTGGTCCCTCTTGGAGCCCTCTGGGGCCGCCTTGGGAGCTTGTGCCGTCTTAGGCTTTCTTGGGGGCCTCTTGCGCCGTCTTGGGGTCCTCTTGGACCGTCTTGGAGCGCCGGGGGCCCGAATCGGCGAGAATGCCAAGCTCTGTCACAAGCCCAACGAGCATTTTTTGTTTTTGCCTCTTGGGGCCCTCTTGTGAGGCCTCTTAGAGCGCTCTTGGGGCGTCTTGGGGACCTTGGGGCGTCTGGAGGCCATCTTGACCGTCTTGGAGCGCTCTTGGGCCGTCTTGCTTGGTACCCTCGGACCGTCTTGGGGGGCTGAGGACGCTCTTGGGCCGTCTTTGCGTTCTCTGGCCTTTGGAGAAGTCACGCCGCCATGTCCCGAGAGCGCCGGGTAAAGCTCGGAACTCGGGGCTGTGTGCACCTTGAAGAGTTCAGGGGTTTACAGGGATATGAAAACATGCCACTTACGCGCCAAGACACGGTGTCGTGCCGCCGGTTCTGGCCCACCGCGCCTCGGTGCGACGAGCTACCCACGTTGCGGTCCACAGGCGTCAACGTCCAGAATTTGTTTCGAGCTTTCCGCCCCGCGGCGCGGAGCGACGCGACATCCGCTCGCAAGGCGTAGCGTGTGGCCGGGGCCGCCGCCGCGACACGCTTGGCAAAAGCTCCCGACTGGAACCCCTCATTATCGGGTGACAAGATCTGTACATATCCACTGCTCCATGGCCAGGTCCATCCTGAACCCAGGAGCTGTGTGCACGCCCTCCTGGCCAAGCCATGACAGCGTGGCGTATCCACCGCTGCTGGGTTCAGGATGGGCCTGCCCGGGGAGCAGTGGATGTGTATAGATTTCGTCGCCCCACTCTGACCTCGAGCCTCCTCTCTTTTCCTGCGCCCTGCTGCCGCTCCTCCCCCGCGACCTCGCCGCGCCCTCCGCCGCCCGCCAGCGCCGTGGACCGCGCCGGCGCCAAGGAGGCCAGGCGCAGCAAGGGGCGCAGGGAGGCGCGCGAGGAGGAGCGAAGGGCCCCGGCGGCGGCATTGCCCAGCTCGATCCCTCCTCCTCCTCCTCCTCCTCCTCCTCCTCCTCCTCCTCCTTCTCTTCCGCCTCCTCCTCCACCTCCTTCTCCTCTTCGTGGTCGTCGTCTTTCTCCTCCTCCTCCTCCTCCTCCTCCTCCTCCATTCCGTTTTCTTACCTATGCGACCACCCTTCGGGTGATAAGGAGGTTCGGGGGGGGAGGAACCAACGTCACACTCGATCGGTCTCACTATCGATCTCACTATTGATCTCACTATCGTTCTCGCTCGATCGATCTCACTCGATCGATCTCACAAGCGATCTCACTCGATCTATTTCCTTCGATCGATCTCACAATCGATCTAACTATCGATCTCACAATCGATCTCACTACCGATATCCTTAATCGATTTAACATTCGGTCTCACAATCGGTCTCACTATCGATATCACAATCGATCTCACAATCAACGTCAGCATCATCATCATCATCATCATCACCATCATCGTCATCAACGTCATCAACATCACCATCATTGGGACACCATCATCATCATCCCCTCATGACCATCATCATCAACATCATCATCATCACCATCATCATCATCACCGGGACACCATCATCGTCACCATCATCATCAACATCATCATTATCGGGACACCATCATCATCGGAACACCACCATCATCATCATCTCATCATCATCATGAAAACATCATCAACATCATCATCACCATCGGGACAACATCATCGTCATCAGCAACATCATCATCATCATCATCGGGACACCATCATCATCCTCACCATCATCATCACCATCATCATCACCATCGGGACACCATCATCATCATCATCAACATCATCATCATCAGCACTATCATCGGGTCACCATCATCAAAATCATCATCACCTCATCATCATCCTCATTATCACCATCATCATCATCGGGACACCATCATCGTCATCATCACCAACATCATCATCATCGGGACACCATCATCATCATCATCATCTTCATCATCATCATCATCATCATCATCTCATCATCAGCACCCCATCATCATCAACATCATTATGATCATCACCATTATCATCATCATCATCGGGACACCATCATCATCAGCAACATCATCATCAACATCATCACCATCGGGATACCATCACCATTACCATCACCACCATCATCATTATCATCATCAACATCGTCAACATCATCATCATCATCATTATCATCATCATCGGGGCACCATCATCATCACCACCATTACCATCATCATCATCATCATCACCGTCGTCATCATCATCAACATCAACATCATCATCATCATCATCATCATCACCACCACCATCATCATCATCATCATCATCATCATCATCATCATCATCATCATCATCACCTCATCATCATCATCATCATCATCATCATCATCATCATCGGGACACCGACGGGACACCGACGGGACACCGGGACACCAGCGGGACACTGGCGGGACACCGGCGGGACACCGGCGGGACACCGCGGGCCACCGGCCCCCGGAACGGAATCATTTGGTCCGGCCGCGTCTCAGCCGGAGGCGGGACACCGGCGGGACACCGCGGGCCACCGGCCCCCAGAAAGGAATCATTTCGTCCGGCCGTGCCTCAGCCGGAGGAGACTTTCTTCTCGCCCGCCCACGCAGATTCGCCTCGCGCGCACGCACGGCACGCACGAACACGAAACCGAAACCGACTTCTCGGTAGGGGGGCTCTCCGTTCCACTTCGATCTCACCCCCTCACCTCCGATCCTATACGACCACCCTTCGGGTGATAAGGAGGTTGTGGTGGGGGGGAGCGGGGGGGGAACCAACATCTGACTCAATCGATCTCACTATCGATCTCACTCAACGGGACACCACGGGACACCACGGGACAGCACGGGACATTTGTCGATCTCACTATCGATCTCACTATCAATCTCACTCAACGGGACATCACGGGACACCACGGGCCACCACGGGACACCATGGGACACCGCGGGACGCCTCTCGATCTCGATCTCACAATCGGTCTTATTATCGATCTCACTATCGATCTCACTCAACGGGACACCACGGGACACCACGGGACACCACGGGACACCGCGGGACACCGCGAGCCACCGCCGGACGGACAGACGGACGGGCGGGTGGGGGATAATCATTTATCTTGACTTCGCTCTAGCAGCGGCGGACACCAGGGGACACCACGGGACACCACGGGACACCGCGGAACACCGCGAGCCACCGCCGGACGTGCGGGCGGGGGAGAATCATTTGTCTTGACTTCGCCCTAGCAACGGCGGACACCACGGGACACCAGGGGACACCACGGGACACCGCGGGACACCGCGGGCCACCGCTGGACGTGCGGGAGGGGGAGAATCATTTGTCTTGACTTCGCCCTAGCAGTGGCGGGCACCACGGGACCCCACGGGACACCGGGGGACACCGCGGGCCACCGCCGGACGTGCGGGAGCGGGGGAATCATTTGTCTTGACTTCGCCCTAGCAACGGCGGGTTCATTCCTTTCGCGAGCCCACGCAGCTTCGCCTCGCCCGCACGCACGACACGAACGAAACGAAACGATTTCCCGGTTGGGGGTCTCCGTCCCACTGCGATCTCACCCCCCAACCTCCGATACATAACTTCTCCCTGCCGCACCCCGAGGCAATTTTTTTTTGGGGGGCCAGGCGTTTCGCCTGAGACTTCCTCACCGTTTATGGCCCCAAAGCTTGAACATAGGAACAGTTTCATAGTTGGGTGGAGGGCGGGCCGTTTTCAGAATGTGGCTCTCGCCTTAGCGCCGCGCACATTCGCTCTTCAAGATTGCAAGAGTTTCATCGAATGAGGGCGGTTCTTTTTCAAACTGCGGCTCTCGCCTTAGCGCCGCACACATTCGTTTTTCACATTTGCAAGACTTTCGCGGATTAAGGGCAGTTCTTTTTCAACATGTGGCTCTCGCCGTAGCGCCGCACACTATCGGTTTGAACATTTACAAGAGTTTTACGGGTTCCCATGATCAGTGTATCAGAAATGGTGTTTTGGAAGGATTCTGGATTGTGAGGGTGCAACAGTTACGTTGATTCGTGGTGTTGAAGTCCCAAGTAGCATTCTGGTAATATTCAGGATCGTCCAGGTTGATGCGTGGCGTTGAAATCCCGAGAACAATGTTTTGGCATTTTGCAGGGTCTCCAAACAGTTGTCTTCCAACGAAGCAGTTTCCTCAGGGGAGATGAACCGTTGTAGGGGCCTGCGAAGAGGGAGCCTGGAGGGAGGGTTTATTCCAACATCGTTGATGACTCTTGGGTTTCAACTGGTCCTCCTCCTCCCCCCTCCTCCCCCTCATCCTCCTCCCTCCTCCTGCTCCTCCTTCTCCTCCTCCGCCTCCTCCTCTCCCTCCTCCCCCCCCTTTCTCCCCCCCCCTCCTCCTCCTCCTCCTCCTTTCCTCCTCCTCCTCCTCCTCCTCCTCCTCCTCCTCCTCCTCTCGGCCCTGGGGCACCCGAGTGGGTCCCCACCCCTTTCGACCAAGGGGGCGTCCGGGTCGATCCGATTCGGTTCCGGTGCGGTCGGGGACTCTGGGGCAGCGTGTCGCTCCGCCGCTTCTGGCGCACCACGCTTTTTGGCGCGACGCGCTGTCCACTGCCCGGTCTCTCCAGGCTGCGACGTCCCGAGCATTTCCGAGCCTTCCGTCCCGCGGGCAAGGCACGTGTCGCCGGGGCCGCCGAGGCGACGCGCTGAGCAAATGTTCCCGGTCGTATCCCGACACTCCGAGGCGGCCCAGTGTTTTCGTGGCGCCGTTGTGCGTCCCCAGGCATCCTCCGATCTGTTTTTTTCAGCCCCCAAAGTCCCGACCTCTTACCTGGGGGTAGGTTCTCTCAACTTTTGATGTCCCGGGGCCCGATGACGGGCCCCAGGGGCTGAAATCCAGGAAAGCCCTTGGATTCAAAGATCGCATCCTTGGAGATCTGGGTCCTGGCACAGCCCATTCGATCCGATTTCGACTCCGTGCCGGTGTGGCCCGATCCGACATACATTCCGATGCGAGCCGCTTTCGCGGTGCGGTGCTGGCCGATCCTGCCGCGACGGGCCCGTTGGTGGGAGGGGACGGGGCCCCCTGGGCGCCACCGGGCGTGCGGAGGGTGGTGCTCAAGACAGGTCCAAATCAATCCGAAGTGCTCGCAGCAGGGTGGGGTTCGAAAGGTGGAGCCGTCTGGGGTTCTGAGGTGGCCCAGCACTGGCTCCGGCCAGCAGGAGGGGGGGGGGGGCGAGGTTCGAGGTTCGGGAAGGCTTTTTGCCTGTTTCGACCTCCGGTCCGGGGGCCCTTGTCGGGTCGCAGGTCGGTCAAGGTGAACGCTGCACCAGATGGATCCCTGGAAGGGTGTGGGGGCCGACTTGAGCGGATTTGGCCTCACCCCCCCCCTCCTGCTGTCTCTGGGCCCGACCAGCTCGGACGCCATGGCCGCTTCCAATCCGAGAGGTTGTGCACCGTTTTTTCTGGTTTTTGGCGGTCTTGCAGCCTCGGGATGCTCTCCAGCAGCTGCGCTTCTCCGAGAGCGTTCTGGGGGTATCGTCCCGAACGGCCGCCGGAGAGCCGACTTATGACCCGAACGGCATACGACGAGGCGCTTGGGGGAGCGAGGGGTGGTGGAAGTGCAGGTGCGAGAGGGGGGGAGGGAGATCAGGGATGGGCAGGGAGTGAGTGATGGAGGCAGGCAGGGAAGGTTCAGCGGAGCGTCTCCAAGCGCTGTTTGTTCCCTTGTGGGGACTCGTTTTCCTCGGTGGGGAAGATGGCGCATATGGCGCTCCAGAGAAGGCGTCGTTTTTGAGAGGTTGAGAAGGTAACATCTAGCCCTTGGCCGAAGCCAGCGGAAAGTCGGCCGAAGGCCGGCAACCGGTTTGCGGAAGCAGGCGGAAATCAAGCGATGGCGGTTCCGCAGGCGGAAGCCTGCGGACGGAGGCGGATATGAAGACGTAGATACTTCCAGGCATCCGGGTTTCGGGGGTCGGCCACATGGGTTCCGAGTCGGCGGCCGAGATCTTTCACTGGCATTGCGCGGTCTCTGAAAGTCGACGGGTGTCCGAGGCAGAAGTGCCCAACCTCCGAGGCAGCCCCACGACACGAGCAGGAGGTCCTTTCCGACCTGCGGTGGCCTTTCGGGCCTGCACAGCTCTCCGGAGGTGTGCCGACGCTGCAGCGGCCCGCCCGCGCGACCCGGCCGTCTGCCGCCCGCCCGCCCGACCGTGCACCGTGCAGGGCCCGGCCGCTCGACCCGCCCCGTCGGGTTCGTGCCGCCTGCGCTCCCGCGGATCTCTCGCGTGCTCCATCCTTCGCCGTCCCGCTCGTCTCTTCCCTTCTGCCTCCGTTCTTCAGCGGGGGGAAAGGGTACCCATACCTCTACCCTTCGGCCGTTTCCCCCGTTCTGGGCCTTCTCGCAGGATCTCGTCGCCACCGCTGGATTCGCCTCGAAATTCTGGTCAGAACGCACCCCAGGAAAGGTCCGGGGAGTAGCGGTATCGGTGGTACCTTTTGGTTTCTCTAGTTCCCCTGTCTCAGGGGCTGCGCCAACTGCACGTGACAGGTCCGACCGAAGGCGAGGAGGGCGCGCATCGAGGCTTTGGGATGTGCGTGTTCAGTGGCACGCGAGCAAACGACAACGAGCAGACTTAAAATTGTTGTTGTCGTCGTCGTCGTTGTTGTCGTTGTTATTGTTGCGGTTGCTTTTGTTGTTGTTGTTGTTGTTGTTGTTGTTGTTGTTGTTGTTGTTGTTGTATTTGTTGTTGCTGTTGCTGTTATTGCTGTTGTTGTCTTCTTCCTATTGTTGTTATTGTTGTTGATGTTGTCGTTATCGTTCAAGTTCTGATTTGCTATATAGTTATTACTGTTGGATTTCCTAGCGGCGCCTAGATTACTGTCGGCGTCGGCTGCATTTCCTTTGAAATCGAGACTCACGCTCAGGCGTTTCGGGGGTGCGCCGAAACCGGCCCCCCAACAACAACAACAACAACACCAACACCAACAACAGCAACGCTCCAGATCTATACATCTTCCTGTTCTACTCGGGACTGGGAGCATGTTTATTGCGGGACACCCTGCACCCGCACTGGCGCTTTCTCCTCCTCCTCTTCTACTCGGAACCGGGGCTCTTGCTCGCCGCCGAAAGCCGGCTTTCCAACACATCCGGCGCTCCCGCTCGATATTTCTTTGTATTCTACTCAGGACCGGCGCTCCCGGCTCGGCGCCGCAAGCGGCCCTCCTGCAAACAACGACGCTCCCGTTCGATACTCGTTCCGCTTTTATTCAACACCCCCAGAGGCACTGAGGCTTCCCTAGTCCATGTTGAGTTTTAATTGTAAGAAGATTACTATAGTGGGGCACCCTACACCCGCACTGGTGCTCTCTCCTCTTCCTTTTATACTCGGGACCGGGACTCTTGCTCGCCGCCGAAAGCCAGCTTTCCAACAAATCCGGCGCTCCCGCTCGATATTTCTTTGCTTTCTACTCAGGGCCGGCGCTGCTGCCTCGGCGCCGCCGACGCCCCCCGCTGCAAACAACGACGCTTACGCTCGGTACTTCTTCCGCTTTTGTTCAAGACTCCCAGAGTCCCTGGGGCTTCCCTAGTCCCTGGTGCCGATCCTCAAGAATGCAGCATGCACTGTCGGAGGCCTGTGTTGGTGCCTCCTGGCGCGCTCCGCGTGAGAGGGGCGGCCCGAGAGCCCATGGAGGCGACCTCGTCGTCCTCTTCATCGTTCTTCCTTCCCCGAGGCTCAGAAGCTCCGCCGACCCAAGCCTTTTCTAAAAATGCTTTGAGGCCTCTTTGAAGATGCCCCGAAATCCTCCAGTTCAGTTTGAACGTGTCTCCCAGGGGCCCTCATGTTTCCCACAGGGGTTCTGGAGCTTCTGTGAGAGGCTCTGGGGGCTCTCGAGAGGGCTCCAGAGACTGTCCAAGGGGCTCCGGGGGCTCTCCCAGGGGTGGTGGGGCATCTTCCAGAGGTTTTGGGCCACTCGGGCGTGGTGGCTCCCAGAAGCAAGGCGTGGGCAGGGCGGTCGTGAGGGCGATGAGCCATCCGGGCTGGAGACGTCGAAGTGCCGCGGAAGAGGTGTTGTCAAGACTTCCTCGGGCGGGAGATCCGGGTAAGGGAATAATCGGGCTCCCCTGTTTAATAAGAGATCCCACATGAGGGGGCAGCTATTATGATGGATGCATACGGCATACAGCATCATACAGCAATCGGGCACATTTAATTGTTGCTGCTGCTGCTGCTATTGCTGCTGCTGTTGTTGTTGATGCTGTTGTTGTGGTTCTGGTGGTGGTTGTTGTATTTGTTGTAATGGCTGTTGTTGCTGCTGTTGTTGCTGCTGCTGCTGTTGGTGGTGCTGCTGCTTTTGTTGTTGTTGCTGCTGTTGTTGTTGTGCTTCCTGCTGATGTTGTTGTTGTTGCTGCTGCTGCTGCTGCTGCTGCTATGTTTGCTGTTGTGGTAGTCGTAGTCGTAGTCGTTGTCGTTGTCGTTGTTGTCGTCGTTGTTATTGTTGTTGTTGCTGCTGTTGTTGATGTGATGTTGCCGCTGCTGTTATGGTTGTTCACTTGGGTCCAGGGGTGCAGTCTAAGGTTCAATATTTTTCCTCGTGAAGATAAGCAGGGTGCGAGCCCTGGAGGGGTCTTCAACTGAACAGCGGAGTGGGTGATCAGTACTTGTTGCTGCGGCGCGATAAGGCAACAACAACAACAACAACAACAACAACAGCGGCAGCATCTCATTCACACTCAATCCGCCAGCCAGAACGCCACTTTCGCCGCGCACCGCCCAGGGGCCACGAGTGATCGTTCGGCCTCCGCACCCTGATAGAGACAGTCCCCCTCCGTTCTGCCCTCGTGCCCGTGCCCATCGTGGCTCCAAGGCCCAGGGCGCCCAGCCAGAGCGAGGCCAGTCCAGGCTTCGACGACTCCCTGGGGGCCAGAATACGCGCGTTGGAAAGCATGATTTTCATATTACACCAGAGAAAAACCCCAATCAGTGGATGGTTTTCGCTGAGGAGATCGACCGGGAACCCGGGAGCCCCAGAACCCAGAACCCACCGAAATCGGCCCGGAACCAATGACCGGGAACCCGGGAACCCGGCACCGGGAGCCGGGGAACCCAGCCTGCTGCCAAGATCGGCGGGAAACTTTCGCCAACTCTTTCCACTTCCGCTGTAGGACCCCTTCGGTGCAAAAGCACTGCTTGGGGCATCTCTTCGTTCTGCCCCCGTGCCCGTGCCCCGCCTCCAGCGCCCCCTCCCCTCGCGAGGCCCCGACGGCCCCAGGGGCCTCCCCCCTCGCGAGGCCCCGACGGCCCCAGGGGCCTCCCCCCTCGCGAGGCCCCACGGCCTCCAAAGCCCCCCATCACGAGGCCCAGAGGGCCTCCGGGGGGCTCCAGGAATGGAGCGGGACGCTCGGGGCACCTCGGGCCAGGGGCACTTCTGGCGGCACCCGGCTGACAGAGAACACATCGCGAGAAATAGCGCCCCGAACCCTGTAGACCTTTTCTTTCTGCGTCAGTTGTCGAGCCGGATCGATCTGTGAGGGCCCCTGGGCCCGAAACTGTCCGAGAGCGCCCGGCTCGAGAAGATTGCGACGCCAGGATCTCAGGGTCCTCGTTCTCGCAAAGCGCCTGCATACACGCAAGATGTCTTCATCCAGTCTCTCACAGGTAATTTTCGCCGGACCGCTCTCGGCCCCTCCACGAATGGTGCTCCCGCGGCAGCGGTCAGACCTCAGCATCGGCGCTCTGCTCCCGTCGTTCAGACGGGCGCTCTTGGCCCGGCGCGGGCCACACGGGCCAGCTCCACTAGGGGGCCACATGCCAACCCTACCCCTTCCCCCCACGATTTCTAAGGGGGAGGGTGGGGTTCACTTCGCTCGGGAGCTCCCGAACGAAATGAACCCCACCCTCCCCCTCAGAAATCGTGGGGGGTAGGGGTAGGGTTCGCATGTGGCCCCCTATCCACCTCGCCCGGCCCCCCTCGCGCTGCGCGAGAGCTTCGCGCGCCCGGCCGGTTCCCGCCCGGGCCCCCCGCCCAGGACCGCGCCGAGCGGCGCGGGGGCGCCTCCGGGGGCACCGCGGAGCGCGGCGGCGCCGCGGGCGGCGCAGGCCGTGGGCGCCGCGGCGGCCGGGGGGGGGGGGGGTCCGAGGCGGGAAGTGATGCATGACCACCGCCTGGTCAAGCAGTGGCGAAGCCTGCCAGGGAATGTCCTGAGAACCATTGGTGGTTTCCACGACATAATGTTCTTAGAATACTTCTGTCTGGGACTGTTTTGTTTTAACACATCGGGAGTATGTTCTAAGAACATTGTTTTTGTTCTTAGAACATTTTTAGGTTCTAAGAGCATGTCGTGGTAGGCCTATAGGAATGCCTGGACGGTCGGTCCCTGCTCACAGCCTGGAGGACCAATATTCGGGGACCTCGGCAGGCGGTGGATATGGCATACATACATACATACATACATACATACATACATACATACATACATACATACATACATACATACATACATACATACATACATACATACATACATACATACATACATACATACATACATACATACATACATACATACATACATACATACATACATACATACATACATACATACATACATACATACATACATACATGCATACATACATACATACATACACACATACATACACACATACATACATACATACATACATATATACATACATACATACACACATACATACATACATACATACACACATACATACATACATACATACATCCATACATACATACATACATACATACATACATATATATATATACACATGCATCTCTACCGCCCGCTGGGGCACCAGGACGTCGGCTCCCAGGCGGTGGATGTGGATAAGTCCCCGCCTCGCAGGGGGGGCTGTCGGAGGTGGGTGCGCTCGGGAACTCTGGCCCAGCGTGTCGCCGCACCAGGGGCGAGTCCTGAGATCCTGGCGTCGCAATTTTCTCGAGCCAGGCGTTTTCGCTTTTTCTTCGTTCCCGTGGGCCCTCGCAGATCGCTCTGGCTCGCGACATAGCGCAGGAAGATGGGGTCTAGGGCTACGGGCATGATCTTTTTGCGATGCTGGCATTTTGTCGCGACGTCGGATCTCAGGGATTCCAGGCCGCGCTTGAGGGGGGGAGGGGCAGACGGAAGAGGGGGAAGATGGGGAAGAGGAGGAGGGGGGAGCAGGGAGAGGGTCCGCGGCCGCGGCCGGAGAGGGAAAACCACCGCGGCACTTGTGGCGTTTACTTGTGGCGTCCAGCCTGTGGTATTCACTTGTAGCGTCCAAGACCCGAATACAGTGGAGGCCCATGCCAAGAAGCACCCTGCTTGCTTCTAGGGTGCCCTGGGTTTCTTGGGTTTCGGTGATTTTTCTATGGGAAGCGTGACGTTCCCACACCAAAAACACAATCGACGCCCTGGGGTCTCAGGGTTGGGTTTCTTGTGGAAGGTTTCTTGTGGACTGGCCTCCACTGTAGCGTCCAAAACCCGAATAGCGGGACGGTCCAAGGTGGCCTTGGCTGTTCGCAGTGGCACCACCCAGAGACAAGGTCTCGCTGCGAATCTCATATGGCCAAGTCTAGTGCAGTTTGCAAGGGATCGCAGCCCGGGGAGCCTGGACCGCATTTTAGTCATGAGGGATCGTGGCCCTGTGAGCGCGGACTCGCCCCTTAACGCGTCGCTGACGTGTCGCGGCGCCGCTTCTGTCAGGGTGGTTTTGCAGCAGGATGGATTCTGAACGGGTGGCGTCGCGTTTTCCAAGACAGAAAGCATGTCGAGACTTTTATGAGCTACTCGTAGGGGTCGGGAACTTGGGCTTAGCTGAGGTGGCCCAGTATTGTTCCTGGGCAGCAGGACGGGGAGTCAAGGCTCGAGGTTCATGGCGGGTTTGCCCCTTTCCCCCCCCTTCGTGGCAGCTGTCCTTGGGGCCCATCCCTTTCAGGCCGTCAGGCCGCCTCCAGGTTCAGCAGCGTGCCGTGGATCCGCCTCTGGCCCAGCGCGCGCTTCGGCGCGACACGCCAGCCACGTCCGGGCCCCCGGGCGCCAGGGCCCCGGGCCCTCCTCGGCCTACCGCCCCGCGGAGCGGAGCGACGCGCCACCCGCTTGTCAGGCATGCTCGGCGCGTCGCCGGGGCCGCCGCGGCGACACGCTGGAGCAGGCCGTGTGCCTGGCCGAAGAGCCCCCACCCTGCCGCGTCGATGTGCGGGCAGCTCTTTTTTTTCGGCTCTCGAGGGGGGCGCTGCGGCCGCATCTTCTGCGGGCCCGTGCCCGCGGGGTCTGCGCTTCCGGGGCGTTCCTCACCCTATGGGAGCTCTGCCCGAAGGGAGTCTGTCCACCCCCGATGCTGGCACGAGTGGGAACTCCCACCTTTGCGCTGACAAGGTGGTCGGTCGGTTCCCACCGTGTTGGGATGCTGTCCCAGCCATGCTCGCGCCGTGGCAGAAATCACGGCGGAGGGTCTTTGGCCGTTTTCGGCCCCGGGGGGCCCTCGCTGGGCCCCGGGACCGTGCAAAACCGGCTCGGGACGGAAAAGCGGTCCCTGGGGAGTGGCCCAGAGATCGAGGGAACCCCGTATGGAGCAAAAATCAGAACATCGAGGTGTGGAGCTGGTTCTCTTGGGGGAGCGCGCCGACTTTGGCCGGACCTGGTCCCCGGAGGGGCCCTGGGCCCTGGCGTTCCCCGCTCTCGCTCCCCTCCGAGCGCCGCTGGCGTCGAGCGTTGACCCCCCCGCGTGTGCCTGCCTGTCCAAGGGCGCCTCCCGGTTCTCTCCCCAAGGCGTCTTCGCCTGAGGGGGTTCTTCTTGGCTTGCTTGTGAGAGAGGCCAGAACCAGTGCGGGGCCCTGCGTCAGGCGTGCGTTCTTCGGGGTTGCCTTGGATTGCCCAGGTTTGCCCCGTGGTGTTCAGGGTTGCCCGTGCAAACAACGCCAAGCAACGCCAAGCAGTGCCACGCAATACCACGGAACGCCAAACAGTGCCACGCAATGCCACGCAATGCCACGCAATGCCAGCCAACCACTCCAAGCAATGCAAAGCAGCCAAGCAATGCCAAGTAACACATTGCATTGCTTTCTTTCGAACGGCTTTGGAAGACATAAGACGCGACATTGGGGTCGCGGCATGCTCCTGCTGATTGGCCGCGGTCAAGGGTTTTGGAGTTCCTGGGGGCTTTCGGGTCCCGGAACGTGCTGTAGCAATTGCTCCTCGCCGAGGCCAGGCTCTGCGGGGGCTCAGGGCCGTCCCCACCAGCGATCTTCCTGCTCCCGCCCCGAGGTCGTACAGCTGTGTCACGACCACCAGCGCTGGCCTGTTGGCCCCTACCGTTTGCCGCTCGGGCCAGGAAGCGAGGCGAGCCGCAGGTCTCTCGATTCCCCCCGCACACCGCTTCCGCGGAAGAGGGCTCTCGCTTGTCCGGGGCCGCCCTCGCCGTCCCCGCTGCC